GGACAGCTGCAGCTTGTGTGGGGAGGGGGGGTGGCTCCCACTGCTGTGCACAGCCCCAGAGGGCATGGGGCAGGGCAGGCTCCCTGGTTGGGGCCAGGACTGAACCAGCCTCTTCACAGCCTGGTCGAGCCGCCCACCAGGCTCGGGGTGGGTGGTAGTGCTCGGAGGGGGCTATGGGGTGGGGCTGCATCCACCCCAAAATTTGCTGTAGCCCTCCCCAAACCCAGAACCACCACTGCCTGCTCCAGCACAGCCTGGCCTAGCCTCCTGCTGGAAAGAGCCTGGCACCACCCCGGTGGCAGCCTGCTCTGCCCTGTGCAGATCCAGGGGGCACACACCCCCATGCCCTCCCAGGATGTGTGCAGCAGCAGGAGCCCCCTCCCCATGCACCACCCCCATCCTTACTCCCTCCTTCACTGCGGCGGCCTTTATCTGCCACCGCACCGTCCCATCCACCACAACAAACTTACCAGCTGCACACAGCTCTCCAAGCTGCTGGGTTGTGCCTGTGGGATGTGGGCAGGTTGCATGGCAGCAACAGCTGATCAAGATGAGTCTATCCGTAAGCAGGCTGAAGGCTTCACTGAGGGTGGAGAGCTACAGGGAAGCTCCCCTGTAGTGCTATACTGTGGCTGCATATTCATGGGGCACTTACTGGCTCCACCAAGCAAAAAAAGCTGTTTTCCGATGCACTTTATTTTCTCTATATCGGCACTAATCCAGTATTGGATCGATTCATCAGTGCACCTCTAGTGGTTTCAGTTGTGACTGTGGTCAAAAACACACTTTCAGATCCTGACTGGCTTTCCTAATTCAATAAAGAGGTGTTTTGCAGGGAGTTCTGTATCTAGGTGCCCCTCATCACACAAACAAAGGCCATATAATTTAAAGAAATAACTTACCAAGGAAGATCTTGCAGCATAGTTCTTAATTCAGACGTAGCTCAAGCTATAGCATACATTTTTCCTGATGTCAGATAATCTCATCTATCAGTGATCTGGGTTTGAATTTCAAACTAAAAAATCAATATTACTTTTTCACTTTTGCAATAGTCTTCGTCTACCTTAGAGAGATAGTAAAGCTTCTGGTTGTGGCAAACTGAGGGAGGCTGAGAGCACTTTGAGCTTCTCTGCTGAAGGGTCCTGAAAGGTCGGAAGGGGGTTTTTAAGAGGAGGTTGGATGACCACCTTACTGGGGTTGTTTGACCCCAGTACTCTTTCCTGCCATGGCAGGGGGTCGGACTAGATGATCTGCTCAGGTCCCTTCCGACCCTAGAAACTATGAAACTATAGAGATACTGAGCGTGGGGGAAGTTGACCGATTGCAAGTAAAATAACTTGTTTGATTTGTTTTGTTATGTGTTTTCTTCCATCTAAATCTTCCAGCTGAAATTTATGTGGGGAAATTTGACCTTGGCATCCTCTGAAAAAAAAGACATGTTGGTGCCATCTCTTGCAGCAGGGCAAGTGGGGACTGTTTCGGTTGAGTTCATTGCTCCTGCTCTAGAAGGGACCTACACTTCTCACTGGCGGCTGTCACACAAGGGAGAGCAATTTGGGCCCAGGATCTGGTGCAGTATTGTTGTGGATTCCTTCCCAGCCACTGCTTGTCTAGAAAGTAATCAAAAGACTTTTAGTACCAGTCAAAAGGATAAAGTTTCCTGTAAAAAAGAGGCAAGTATCCCAAACTGCTGTTTTGACCTTCTTATCTGGTATTTTCCTGAGCACTTTCAAAGGCGAACAGGAAAATACCTTTATTGGTATTAAAAATAACTTTTATTAAGAAAAATCTTTTGTTTTCAGTGGTTTGTTGGTAGTAGCTTTCATTGAGGATTCTTTCAATTATCTGCCCTCCTACCTGTTTCTGATTCTTAAAGTGCAATAATATGCACTGAAATTTTACTTTCACTAATCCTCATTTCAGTAAAATATAATCAGTGAACTTAAACCTTGCAGGACATATTTCTTGTAATATTTTCATCTACTATTATAACTTCAGAGTGGGAGGGAGGAGGCCTTTCAATATTATTTTTGCTGTCCCCTGTACAACACAAGTACATGAAATACAGTCAGAATGCTTCTCAGACTTCTAGTATCCAAGGTACATATATTAGAGGCACATATTCCTTTTTTTTTGGCTTCTGCAGGTGGCTTACTCATCAGAAGCAGATGCCCAGCAGGCTGTTGAGGTGATGGAACTGGCAGATTTACCAGTACCAGCTATTCCTTTGAAGATTAAAAATCCACACAGTGAGAGAGAGTTTTACATTCCTTCAGTTGATCTCCTTACTGCTCAGGTAAAATACTAGATTTTGGGTGAAAAAAGGGCACTCTTTGGTTCAATAAAAGTATTTTCCTGAATCAGCCGGTTACAACAACTTGCTGCTGCTGCAGTAGCCATGGGAATGTCTGGCACCTCCCCTTGTCATATTACACTGTAAAAACTGTTTTCGATGATGATGTATGTAGGCCTCCTTGTAGCCTTTCCTTGCCAACTAACAAGAGGAGGGGTAGTAAGGTTATCTTTATCTGACCAGATACCAATTTAAGATTGCCACATTTCTGCTATCTGAAACCAAACTAAGTATTTAGAAGAACGGAGTGGACTTACTTACAGTATAATAGCCTACTAACATTACATCCTGTGTGTAGGTGTACATCACAGGGCCAACTAATGGATATCATTTGGGATTGCCTCCTTTAGGATTTGCTGTCTTTTGAACTGTTGGACATTAACATTGTGCAGGAACTGGAACGAGTGCCCCACAATACACCTGTCGGTAAGAATCTTCTCATATCCTAATGTACAGATGCCACCATTCCAGCTGATACTTGAACAAAAGAGCCTAAAAGTTAGTTATCCTGTTGAGTCTGGGTCATTGACAATGGAAGAGCCATTGGGCAACCTGTGCTCCTAGAGGCTCTACCTTTCAAGGCACATGGCTAGAGTAATGCTGTCTTCTCAGGTCCAAATCTTCTGTATTTTACTAATCTATCTTTTGCCATGGCCCAAAAAAAAGAATTTGAAAGATTGCTTGTATTTTCACGTTTGGCATACTTTTTTCATAGTGAAGCGCAGGTGAAAAAAGTAAACGATTTTTGATAAAGGTTGCTTTTCTTACCAAAGTATCTTCTGTGATATATTTGTACTGCACAGACTTTGCCAGCAGATAACTTTAGGCTGCTATTTATCCTTAAAAATGGCTAGTTGCTTGAGAACCGGCCACTTGTGAGGCACGAAATGTGTTTTCTCCTTTAATTTAAATCTTTGTTTCTTTTTTTCCCCTCTAGACATGACTCCATGCATGTCACCTCTGCCGCATGATGGCCCCCTGATAGAGAAACCTGGGTTGGGTCAGATAGAGGAGGAAAATGAAGGGAGTGGATTTAAACCACTGCTTGGTAAGCAATGACCCTGGGAGTGCCCAAGAATGTGCCAGCTTTCTTTAGACTGGTACAAGCTTAAGTTTGTGTGAATAGAAACTGAATTCCATCCTGCTGCCACCATCAAATGCAGCAATATGTATCTTCAGATACAGGCTGAGTAGCCTTTTTGTTGTCTTAAAATGCAGCGGTGGTCTAAAATAGCTTGGAGGGAAACGCACCGATGCTTTTTCTAATATCTTCAGGTTCAGTCTGCTTTAGTGACATAAGTAAAGTAAAAATTTATTTAATCCTCTTATGGAAAAGCAGACAAAAATGTCTGACTCAGCCTATCATTACTGTTCCACTCCCAGTCATAGATTGTTTGCTTCTTGGAGGTAAAAGACCAGATTCTCAATGGATCAAAAATAATGTGAACAACCATGAGAGAATCTTGTCGTGACAAGAGGTGCACTGATACATTGATCCATACATATCGTATTGGCACCGATTTTTAAAAGGAAAATTGACATTATTGGCTGTTAGCTTTTTTTAGCTGATGTGGCCAATAATGTTGCCGATAAATGCTGCGTGCATGCACGTGGGCAGCCTGACAGCTTGGAGAGCAGTATCTTATCTGGTAAGTCTGTTTGTGGGGGGCATGTGGGAGAGGGGCAGGTGGTGGCCTCTGTAGTGAGGGAGGGATGGAGGCAGGGCACGGGATGGAGCTGGAGCAGCTCATCTGGGGGGAGGGTGGATCCCACTACTGCATGCATCCCCGGGGGGTCCTTGGGTGTGTACCCCCCAAATCTGTGCGGGGTGAGGGTGGGCTGCCCACTGTGGGCCAGGGGCTGCACCAGCCTCTTTCTGGTGGGGGTGGGGTGCTGTGCTAGGGCTGGGCAGCAGCAGTGCTGCAAGGGGGGGCTATGGCGAATTTTGGAGTGACAGCCCCCTACCCTGTAGCCACCCTTCCCAGCACTGCCGCTGCCTGCCCCAAGCACAGCCCCTGGCCCCAGCCTGCCCTTGCCCTTTGTACACATCCAGGGAACACATGCCCCCCATGGTTCCCCTGAGGGTGTGTGCAGCAGTAGGACTCGCCCCCCGTCCCCTGCACAAGCTGCTTACTGCTCCCTCCTGCACCATACCTCAGCTGGGCAGTGCCTGCCCCAGCCCCATTCCTTCCCTCACCACCAGGGCTTCAATCTGCCCTCTCCATGCCCCTTCCCTCCCCGCTCTGCCCCCCACAACAGACTTTACAGCTGGATCCTGTTCTCCAAGCTGCTGGGTTGCATGTCGGCAATTGGATTGGTATCGGCCGGTATGCCTCATTAATAATTGGCCATCAGTATCAGCCCAGAAAATGTCAGTGGACCCCTACTCGTGACCTCTCCTATGTTTGCTAAGGGAATTCATCCAGAACTCGGAACCTCCTTGCCACATCTGTGCACTGGATTACGCTCATGTACAGCAGTTTCTTTCCCAGAACTGTTCATTCACATT